ACTTTAATTAAAATAAATTTCATCAATAATTTTTTTTAAATATAAATATTTTTTTTGTAAATGTAAATACTTTTTTTGGTATATTTGTTTTATTTTATAGATATAAGTATTTTTTTTGTTCAAAAAATATTTAAAAACTTAATCGTTCAAAATATGAAAGTCCATTGGTTTTTTTTCTCCAGATTTTTTCAATTATTTTACCATATTAACCAGTTGTATAGGTAATAATGATGTACCTAACAAGTTTTAGAAAGCCCAATAAGTTGTTTAACATGCTTTAAAATGTTCAAAGACTTGTTTGTTCCAAAAAATTGTCCAAAAACTTGATCATTCCAAATATTAAAGTCCATTGGATTTTCTTAAATTTTTCCTTTTCATATACAAACGTATTTTTATGTTATTTTTTCATACATAAAATAGTTTTGAACGTTTTATATATGAAACAACGTTGTATTAACAATGCATATTTTATATGTGTTTTTCATATATGAGCAATACATATAGAGGGTGTTTGGGATTATTTATCTAAAATAACTTATACTTTTCTACAAAAGCACTTATCAACTTATTATAAGTCAGAAGAGTTTAACTTCTTCAAAAACTCCTTATTACCGGTATAAGTTTATCAAAATACTAAAAGTGTTTATTACTGGTGTCACTCCGAAATAAGTCAATAAGTTATTTTTATAAGCAATCCTAAACACCCCTATAGTTTGTAACATAGATTAGGCTTATAGTTAATGTGCTCCTCTCTCTCCTCTCTCTCTCTCTCTCTCTATATATATATATATATAAAAGAAAAGAAAGAATAATCGATAAAGGGGAAAAAGAAGGTTTGAGAAAACATGGCCTCATGTCTCTTTGTCCTCTTAGATCCATGGAGAAAAATGTCCCTTTATATGTGTATGTATGGAGATACAGAATCTGATAGCGTCACAACACATACTGAATAGTGTTTACAGAAAGCTTCTCATCAACATAAATGCTCAAATTTCGTCATGGGTCTTATTTGTACGAAAGACCTCTTTTGGTGCATCTTTCGATATAAGTATCGATCTTACCTAAAAAACCTAAAAATAAAGAGGAATACGTACAAACAATGCATATTCGATTGCAATATGAATACCAATTTTAAGTTTGAAAACTTTGGGTCAAAAGAAGAGTGCATGTTCTTCCCTTTTATATTGTTAGATCCAAAAAAGAACAGCAATAACTTGCTTATATTTATGGTTTTCTTTCCAAAAGTAGAATAATTATAAGGTTGAAATGCATTGTTGGCATCTAATTTGCCTGTAAACATGTGCCAAATGCCAATCATGAGATGGTCCTTTCTCTTCGATGCCAAAACACAGCCATTTACTACACCTACAGCCTTATTTTATATATATATAATGTTATCTCTAAATTTATTTATCATATTCTCAGAGGAACCAGTTAGCAAGTCTAATCATTATCAAAAAGCAAAAGATAGAAAAGGACATTAGCGGTTCATTAGTTATCACATGATCACTATTAATGAAGTTGAAAAGCTCCATCAGGGAAGAATATATAACAATATCTGTTAACCTTAGAATAACATAAAAACTAATAGGAGATGAGGTGTCAAGATTTGATTGGTCGATAGAAGAATATCGATGAATGGTGGGCACGAAAGCGTGGAATTGTTTTGGGGGGGTTTAATCTTGATGACCCTTTTTTTGAACTCTAGATCTGACTTTTGAGTTTATATAAATATTAGATGCATTGACATCAAAGACATGTTACTGTGGTGGCCTGAGGCTTTGGAATATATAAGCCAATAGTGCCTTCACAACATTTCTATATCATTGGAATTTGGAACCTCTAATTTGTGTCTTTCTAATTCAAAGATTAGATTACTACCAATGGAGAATCATCTGTTTCCTAAGATGGAAACTTTCTTGCCTTCTTGTTTTCAACAAACTGGAACACAAGTTGTCGAAAATCCCAACATCTGGAATGATCTTGACGAGCTAAGCTGTCATGGTGGTTCAAGATCTTCATCTTCATCAGTATCGTCATCATCTTCATCATCATCGCCCCTGAAAAGATTGCTTTTGACCTCAGATGGGCTTACTTGTTCAAATGATCCAACATTTCCACTAAATTTTCTTCAAACTCTCTCACAAGCTTCTGAGCCATCTTCTACTCCTTCATTAACCAACACCTCAAGATTCCCGAACCTAAGCCTGCTTTTGAATGAACCCAAATTTGCAACCAGTTTGCAGCCAGGGACAGGTTGGCTAGGAATCAACCAAAACTTGGCTAACCACCCTTCTAAGGGTTTTTCTGGTGACTACTGGTTGAAAACTAGCAAGACTCAGCCAATGAAGTATACAGGGAGACGGGGTCCTGATACTACCTTCAAAAGGACTTCCTTTTCGACATCAGTTTGTTCACCAGCAAAACTGTTTAGAGGGGTACGGCAAAGGCATTGGGGAAAATGGGTAGCAGAAATCCGGTTACCAAGAAATCGTACAAGGGTTTGGCTTGGGACGTTTGAAACAGCAGAAGAAGCTGCTTTTGCATATGATACAGCTGCTTATCTGCTAAGGGGTGATTATGCACACTTAAACTTCCCGAATCTGAAGAACCAACTAAAGGCCAATTCAATAAACCGAAATACCGCAGCTCTTCTTGAAGCAAAGTTGCAAGCTTTATCTCAGGGGATGTCATCCGAAGGTAATAATAATAAGAAGGGTAATGATCTATCATCACCATTGCCGGAAATGGCTTTATCAGAAACCTCAATGGTCGGAAACTATACAGATTATGAATCAAACAACAAAAGCAGATCGGAGGTAAGCAATGGAATAAGCAAGAAACCCGTAGAAGCAGGGCCTCCATCAGATTTTGTGGAAGGGGTTCAGTTGAGTAGAATGCCATCTTTGGACATGGATATGATCTGGGATGCTCTTCTTGTTTCTGATTCATGACTACATATGCTCATAGTCTGTTCTTTTCTTCATTTTATATGATGTTTTTGCTCCTTATGGCACAAATGAAAACGATCTTATTTTCCCCTCCTTTTTCTTTTATTGGAAGGCCCATTATTTTTCATCTTCTCTTCCAAGAGTATTGTTGCATTTATTTTCTCTTTTAAGTACCTTTATTAATTAAGATTTCAAGTTTTGGTTTTGGTAGGTTTTGAGTGTTGATGGAAACAATTCTTCTTTAAAGGGGTTGACTTTTTATGCAAATTTACATGGAATTCTTAATTGTGGTTGTCCCTGTCATATTTAGGATTTTCTCTATGGACCCTCTAAGTTCAAGCATCTTCTAAGCAAGTATGTGGACCCACATAGGAGTGGGCACCAATCTTGATATATAATTAAGGCAAGGTAATACTTTTGTATGTCCTGGAACTTAATAGAATTTTTAAGTTTCAAATTTTCAATAACCATTTGCTTTTATTATTCCCCCATGTTTTGCGCATATTTAATGCATATACCGAAAAGAAACACTATTAAGCAGTTAGGCTATGGTACCCGATGGAGTCTTGGCCTTGGGAATGGACAAGGCTGAGTGGGGCAAAAATACATTTTTTTTTTTTCCAGAAAACCAAGGAGATGGGACAAACTTGGTAAGTTACTAAACTACCCATATCAAATTAAAACCTTAAAACTTTCCACAATTCTTTCACCTGGCTACCTCACTCTCACCCATTTAGTCCTGTCTAGTCTGCATACCAGATATACAAGACGGAAGGTGTTCTGTGTCTCTAAGGCTGAAGCCATCTCTAGAAACATCAAAAGGAAAATTAGGAGCTCAAGTTCGTTTCCTAGTGAGTTTGACACACTTCACATACTCTCGGCTATTCTTTCTACTTGCTCTCAAACCTATGCTTGTTGCAAGTTCTCACTCTTATACCTGAGGTGGATACATGAACCACAACCCCCTTGTGTATATGCTGTTTTACATTTCATTGGACCTAACAGGACAAGAAAAAGATCCAGAAACATGTTCTTTTTTTCTGAATAGCCTGAAGAAACAAGAAAAAAAGAACTTAATTTGGCCAAATCAAGATTCATAGCCTTGACTCTATTCAAATATGCGCAAAAGATTGTCTCTGACTGAACAAACATTGCTTCTACCAGCATATTAATCGTACCAACAGAAACATAGAAGTGAGAAGAGAACAGCGTACTGGAATTCTAAAAGCAACAGTGTTGATGGAAAAAGCTACAGTTGATAAAAAGCTTAAACTACTATTTCTCGTGTCAAAAATGTTGTCCTAATCAACAAAGGATCTTTTTACCTTTTTTAGTTGTCCGTCATTAGTCCTCTTTTGTTTTCTGCTCGGTCTTTTCTTCGCCAGAGCATGACGCGTTCTCTAGGACATGAACTCCACCTCCCTTACTGTTGAAACCGTTTCTTGGGAAACTTGTGGATCTTTCTCAAGATTCTCTGAAATGTACACTAATTCTTTCTGATGGAAAGGTTCTGGTTTGTTTCCAACTATGTCTTCACCAGTAACAACTTCCCTCTCTTGGACAGCCATTGGATTCTCCATACGTATCTCTTCATTAGTAACATAAGACCCGTTCTCAATTATACCATCAAATTTTACCGAAAACTTCTCTTGAATAGCCACAGAATCTCTCTCTTGGTTGTCAGCTGATTTTGTCTTGATTTCATCATCAATATTAGACATCTTTGGTTCATCAGGGCTCTTTCCATCTTGCTTTGATTCATTTTCAATGATTAGGGGTTCGTTCTCTTGGACAGATACTGATTTTTGCTGAAGGGATTCATCAAGAAACGACTGGTCACCTTTAATATTGAATGGTTTTTTATGCCCGCCAAATAATAGCTCCTCCTGCTTCATTTCGGCATCCTCCAGGAACTCTTTGCCTACTCTGTCTATTTTAGCTAGTCCCAGATCCTTTTCTCCAGCTACTGTTTCTATTTCAACATTTTCAGCTCCCATTTCAACTGCCAATGGTGTTCCCAGATTTGAATCCTTACCTGTAGTTTTCTCTTCACCTTCAAAGCTGCTTTTGTCATTGTCACAATACCCAGAAGTCAGCTCATTTTCAGGAGCTCGATGAAAACTTCCACCATCATATTCGGTGTTCTCAACCAGCATCATATTCGTGTCCAGCATAAAATACTGTTGCTGTGAAGGCATTGCATTGCTTATGACTCCCCCTCTTCTGAAACTCTCTCTATAATGCTGCATTTCAGTTATGTATCGTTCCTTATCTTTCACAGCTTTTTCCTGGTAAACCTGAAGCAAGAATTAAAAATCCATCAAACCAAACGAGCTCAGTATATCCCTAGTGGGTATAGAGAGGGTAAAATGTCCGTGGACCTGACCTCTACCTCAAAGAGTAGAGCGGCTTTTTCTGTGAAGACCCCCAGGTTGTGAAAAGTGTGTGAAAGAGAGAAAAGCAGGTACGCTTAAATTTTGAAAAGCTGGATATAAGTAAGCAAAAGCTATACAAATAGGGCAAGTACAGGAAAAACAAAAAGATCAAAGATTTTCTTTTTCATGGCGCTCACCGCCTTCTCAGACAACGTTAGCTTGTTCCACTGTTCACCGATCATCCTACTGATGCCTCTATCCTTGCCTGTGTGAAGTAATTTGAGCCTGGCATGCTGTTCGGCAAAGAAGAAATTATACCCACTTCTGTTTGGTTTTGGATGAGCAGGATCCCTCTTCCTCATCTCGGATTTCTTCCTACGCCTCCGCCTACACCTGACCACGGTTGATGCCTGAGTTGCATCCATGGTTCCGAGCTGAGGTACTTGACCATCGTGTTTTGGCGTTTCACATGATGGGGTTTGCACCGTCTGATAAAGAACACCTTGTAGCTGCTCTCCACCTATTCTGACAGTACACAGATACCCACTTTCGAATTTTCCATCAATTATGCCAGTAACTGGTAGACCTATTGATGATTCTGGAGAATCTGCATTGTTAAATGGAACAATTTAAGTCCTAGCAGAGGTCAACTGGAACAGAACGAAAACGAGGGCAATTTGAAGGTTGGTGTTTTACAAATAGAACTATGAAGATGTATCAGAGAAGATAGCGACCTTTAGATGATGCGTCCTCATCTGTTGTCCTCTGCCTCTTCACTGACGTGACTTGAATTTCTGGTGAGAGAGATGTCTGCTGTTTCAAAGGAGCCATTTGAATTTCGGGTAACGGAAGCACGGCTTTATTCATTCCAGATGTTGAAGTGAGGGTGGACTTTGTACTCTGCCAAGTATCTGAGGAAATAATTTGTTCAAAAACTATAAAAAAGGTGCAGAATACATAGGGGCAGGTTCAACGGTGAATATTTTGAGAACCTAGGAACCAACCATTCATGTTTTATACATGCTGAATGTCATGATAGATATTCATGACGAGAAGTATTTATGATGAAAATACATGATATTTATGATAAAAATGCATGATATTCATGAATAATATCCATGATTATTCAGTGTTATTCATTATGAATGAAAATTAATACATGAAATAATTGGTTCCTAGGTTTTCAAAATATTTAACTTTCCCCGAATTACATATTACTGCTAGAGATAAGAGCTTTGTACAGACCAGTAGGAACAGGAGTCCATGCTTTGGCCTTAAAGTAATAAACTTGTTCAAAATGGTGAATGAGTGACATATAATACTTGCGCAAGATAAAAGAAGCATTGGTAGCCGATGGAGGAAAGCTGAAACAATTAGTCACCTCCCTCCACTTCTTCTCTTCAAGAACCTGCACTTCAGTTTGGCCACAAAGTGGAAACACGTAACCAAAATGATAGCAAGTGATTTGCCATGAATATTAGGAGTCCCATAAAACTAATAGCAAGAAAGATCAATGGTACCCTTTTAATGCCGCCACGGGAAGTGACTTCCATAAATAGACGATGCAAGTCTAGATCCTTGCCACCAACAATAGGAATTCTACAATGAGAAATGTATTAGATAGCATCAATCTTGGAACCAGGAAATCTAAGAAGGACCCAGAAACATCAGAATCTAATTCTCAATCCAACCTTGAAATTGGAAAAGAAATACATAAAAGATAGATTAACAAGTTTCTAACAACATCATACTAGTATTAGACTTTAGAGAAGGGTTATAATAGTAAATACTTACTTGAATTTGGTCCCCATAGCAGCATGGAATTTCCCAAGAATATCCATGAAGAGTTTAGCATTGGCTATAACGTCTTCGTACTGCGCAATGGGCGGCGGATATAGATAATACTGCATAGTTTTCTCTTTGATTGGAACTAAGTTCTTGTTTTCTGTCGAAGAAGATGCTGCCATTGCCGCTTAACCACAACCACTTCTGGCAGCTGAGCCACCCTGCTCAACCTTCTTCTAAAGTGTCAGGCAACTGTTTCTTCACTGAACACACAAAGAATAGAAAGAACCCAAATCAAACAAGATAATACAATGCCATTTGCTTACAAAGTTCACCTCCATTCCCTGTGCTCCATTCATAGGCCCCATCCCAATTTTCTAGTAAATGAATTCCCACAATCACATTTATCATCATAGACCCAAGAAGAAGAAAGATGTGAAACGTAACAACTCAGCAATGATCAAACAGAGGTCATTTACAAGTGCATAAAGTAGCAGAAATACAAAAAACTAAACTTAACCCACATACAAAACTGCCCCAAATTCATATCTCTTCCAATTAGAACCCATTTACAGAACATGACTCCTTGGACCAACGATCTTTTTCTTTCAGAATAAAAAGATCCAATGATCTTCATTCGAATACAATGATCATAGAAGAGTCTAATGTTCTAACAACTAAAGCCAAAGAAAGCCATGAGCTTCAAACAAAACAAGAAAAAAGGGGCACAAAACACACAGAAGGAAAACAGTAACCAGTTGTGAGCTTCCAAAGAACAAGGATTCACCTTGTTAAGGAAGAACAATGAAGGAAGGAACAAGCACCATTGTTGTTTGTATCATCAAAAGGATGTATCAATTGGCCAAAGTGGATGGTAGCAGTAGTACAATATAACATCTTTCATAGCCATTGATTCCTTTGGAGCATCAAGTATGTAACAGATGAATCCCTTTCAATTTAGAACTACAAATTAAGAACCCTTTTAGACTCTGCTAATAAATTACCCATATTATCTCTTTCTCAGCTGGGTTTGCAGGTCTAGGCCAACTAGAAGTATATTTTCTCTGACATTCTAAGCATATTGAATCTACTTGGGTAAAAGAGATCATATGGAAATATGAAGATAATATTCAAGAATATACACATATATCAACAAATTTTGGATGGCCAACACAAAGGATTATTTTCCTTCAAATCACAAGTATTTTAAAATCTTTACATCATTATTATAAGTAAATTATTATGAATTAAAATTAGTGTAATATATATATATATATATATGAAAATAAAAGAGAAATCGTAAAATCTCCAAAAAGATCGTATGTCATCCAAACTTATAAAAATAACAGGAAATGCATTGGTGTTGATTAAGAACTTGTTTAAACTCCATGTGATAACTAAAACTGATGATGTCAAAACTTATTGCATATATATAGAATTATGATTGGATTTTAAATAACAAAAAAAAACACATAGAAATGCAAATCCTGCTTGTAAAATAGAAAAATCGAAAACGAAAAGCAAAAAGCCAAAAAGAACGATCGAAGAGAGTAATGATGAATAGCCTGCTCCAATCTAGAAAGAGAGATCTGTCGTCAATGGGGGTAACCAAAGTGAAAACCAATCATTGATTACAACAAAAAAACAAAAAGAACCCTACTTTTATTACGAAAGATCACACATTTGCTGATGAACAGTGGTAGGGTTGAGTTTTTTTCTTGTGGGTCATCCTAACAAAGATTGAAGATCATTTTTTGATTAAATTAATGAAAAAAATACAAGGCAATACATACAGTAAAATCCCAGATGAAAATAAAATGCGAAAATTAAACTTACCAAAGACGGTGACATGGCAGAGTTTGCAGAAATGGGATATGAAATAAGCTTTTTTATGGAAGGAGCGTTTGGTGAAATTTATATCGTAAAACTATATGTTTAACCTTATGATTAGATGTAGAAATGTATGTTTAACATTGTTGATGCTTGCTGAGGATGATGAGGTTGAATCATAATTACTGTTTCTTGAATTACCCTTTTGCCCTTCGAATCACTGGTTTCAAATTCTCGCATTGCAAACACTCGAGACAAGATTTTGGTATTTTGGTAAATTTATCAATTAAAAATTTTCCCCTTTTATCTGGGTTATTTTTCTTGTTTTTATCACCATTAAATGATCAAATATAATGCAAAAATAAGCGTTTATGGCCTGAATTTATCATAAACACACACCATCATTGAGTGAATATGAAAACTTGAGGTAAAGAGGGTTACATATAATCCGTAATATTGTTTTAAGTTAAACCAGTTTGTAACTGAGAAACATGAAAAGTCTGATATATAATAATACGGAAAGATATAAAATTAAGGAGCTTCTTTTTGTACACCCTTTTGTTTGTAACATTAATTGCCATTGAGTTCGGATTAAGGATTTTCATAACTATTCTCCAAGGGTTCCTGGTGTTAGTCAATGTATGTACAAGCTAGCCGAAACACCCAGAAAATTTTAAAAGCCATTGATACTCGATCTCATGTACAAACATCGCATGCTAGCCGATGTGGTCATTCTTACATGCACTCAAAATGTCATATTTGGAGAAATGTCCACAAGATGAAAGCCAAAAATAGGGTCATTCTGTAATTTATGATTTTATAATTAACTCGTAAACATCTTGATTAACAAAGACATTAGAAAGATGACCAGCACTCTCTTTTAAGTTCAGTGGTATTATTTGTATTCTTTCCTGAGTAACTAGTCGATGTTGCCCAGGTTCGTTTTCCATATCGAGTACCCTTTTTAGAACGTCGGAGTTTGACTTTTGGAAGTCAACGGTAATATGGATCGGAAAAGGAAACAAACAAAAACATGGAATAAAGAAACATCTACTCCTATTTTTACAGCCAAAGGTGTGCCCTTTTAGAGGTTTATTCTACAGATGCTACTGCGACTAGATTTAATATTCACAAGATAATACGAAATCACAAAACCTAAAATCAAGACTCCACCACCAACTTGTTTAATATCCTTTCTGTTTCTTTGGTCTTGAAACCCTTTAAAAACTTCATCAGCATTCAAGAGCTTTTTGCAGCTCCTGAAGATACACTTCGACATCGCCTTTTCTTTGTCAAACTCTGCAAAAAATATAATCGTTCGTCATCAGAACCTCATAACAGAACATCACTGATTTCTTGAAAACACAAAGCAGTCAGAATTTCTACTGATACAAAGAAGGGGATGAAAACATCATCTGATATCCACATACAATGGTTGACAGAGGGTTTTAGGAAAATAACCTTCCGACAGATTTTTTTTAGATGTTATGGATTTAAGAATGTCTCTTCCTAACACGTCAGAAGATCATGCATTTAAAAAAATTTCTTTCAGTGCGTTATTCTCCTAAAATTACTAGGATGAAAGAAGCAGCAAGACATTTCCATATTCTAGTCCATAGCATAGCTCTATTTACCGAGAATGGTATGGGGATGGCTACTTAGGTGGTACGGTAATTCTTGGGAAAAAAAGAGGGGGGGGGAGATCCTAAAAATATCGATATTGTTGCAAATAAGCAAGTAAAAAGACATGCAATCTCCCAAAGAGAACACAAAAATTTACGTGGTTTTTGCAAAAGAACAGTGGCAGCAGCAACAAATATTATTGCAGAGAAAGCAATAGAGAATATACAAAAAAAAAAAAAAACTAGTGTGTTCAGTGGTCATATTTTAACCGATAAGCACATGGGGTATTTATACTCTCCAATATACGTGTAATACTAGTAGGAATTCGATGTAATCCTACTTACGCTTCTACAATACATGTGCAGAGAAATGGGCACACGCGAATATCCACCATGATTCAAAGATTCTAGTTGAGAATGGTGTGTTTATATTCTATGTATATACAAATCAAATCTAAAACCAAACCAATAAAGAAAGAAATCATCTTTTATGTACAATGATGCTAATTAGATTTTCTTATCACTTTGATCTACTATCATGATTTTCAAGATTGTCAGATTTGAAACTCAAAGATCTTGGATGATGTTTACGCTACTAGATCATCATTAGAAGCTTACAAATCAATCAGGACAAGGAAATTATGGGTCCAAGCATATACATAAACAAGATGATCCATCCTAAATTAATTTGCAGCATATGATTTGTCACAGAAATAAAAAGATTCTTGACTGTGGATGGACTTCCTGAATCAATGTTGGCATAAAGACAACAAATCAAGGTTTCTACACAAGGGAACCAAGTTGGTTTTCAAGATGATAAAAGCTTCATTAGGAAAGTTGTGTGAAATGATATCTTAATCAAGTTATTGAATGAACTTTCACATAGGTATATAGAAAAAGAAAGCCAAATATGAAAAGTTCATTTGGTTCTAAATTTGCACCTTAGAGGAAGGAAGGGGCAGAGAAGCCTGACGGGCTTTCCGAGGTTCTGTCAGCATTCGGATTTCCTGAAGCTGGCGTGCGATATCCTCCAACAGCTGCAACTGCAAACTTTCCTTTTCACGATTATTAATAGAAAAGTTAAGCTTTTCCCTCCCTTCTTGCACAATCCTCAACCTTTCCCTCAGCCACCCAACTTCAGTGTCAATTCTTATTCTTTCATTATCCAACACTGATGTTGAATTCCTTCTTGCGCTCTTTGAGCTTATGGGCGGCAGCCGCCCAACAGCCGCCTCTGAACCGCTTCTATTTTGGTCAGCTTCCTTCTCCAGTCTCCTTAGAAAACTCCCATCAGTCTCATCCATCGTTGGTCGTTTTTTACTTCCCTTTGACTCATCGCTCGTTTTGGGCTCGTTGTCAATCATATGAACATTATATACAAGTGATTCCTTTTCAGTCCGTTGTTTGTACAGCTCTTTGTTTCCATTAAAAGCATGACCTGCTTTCATTTCCAAATCAGGTACTTCGCCTACAATGGCTATAGGTTTCTCTATGTCTTCTCGTTTTGATAACTCAAGATCTTCATTTCCTGAATTCTTCCTATTGGCAATGGACATGCTAAGCTCATGTAATATCAGATCAGGATCTTCGTTGAAATCTTGAACATTAATGCCAGAAAGTTGATCATTTTCAAGACGATCCATCTGCCTATATGCTTCAACTTCCTTTTCCAAGAAATGCTTCTCCCTTTCTCTTCTCAAAAGGATTTCTTTCAGAATATTCATCTCTTCAAGATCATAAGCTGATTTTTCTTCTATCATTCGCTTATACTGACGCGACTCCATCTCAATCGACGCCTTCTCCTCTTGTAAGCGAAGAATCATAGCCATTGCTTCATCAGCAGCAGTTGCAGCAGCATTTCTTTCCTCATCAAGTTCAACATAAAGTGCAGATCGAGCAGCTCGCTCCACTTCCAATTCTTGTGTCAATGAAACAATTCGGTTGTCTTCATCACCATCATCAGTTGCAATCCTTTCTTTCAGCCCACTTGGGTTGTTACCAGATTCATTAGATACATCATCTAGAAACCTGCCATCCGATTTCACCACCATGGGAGTCTCAGCTTCATCTAAATCAACAACACAAAAAGTAGTTTCAAAGATAAATACTGATAACAATCAAGATTTTGCACAAGTTTATACCTACTATCCAATAAACTAATATGTAAAGATTCAACTTATAGAAGCAAAAAGAACGTAAAGCCCCGAATAAATACTCACAGTTAGAGCTGTTAGCACCAGAAAGAATGAGGCTGCCTTCAAGTTGTGCATTGGATTCTTTGTGATTATTTTGGTCTTCAACACATGTGATCCAAGTAGGGGAAGTAGATACAGAAGAGTGTTTCCCACTATCAAGACTAGTCTTTCTTCTACGTCGAATACTCCCTCTAACTCTATAATTTGCGGCCCCTTTTCCTTTCATATCAAATCCCCTTCCTTTTTCAAATCTAACTGCAGAATCATCAGTTTCATTTCTAACAACTTTTCTAGCATCAGATATGGAACTACAAGATGCCTCACCTTCTAATTCCCTAAACCCATCACCTCTATCCAAATTCAAACCATCACTTCCATGCCCATTCTGGATCCTAAAGAAAATCGAATCAAAAGGGAACTTTCTAGCTACAGCAAATTGAACATCTGAGATCTTATCAGTTGGGTAATCAAACAGTAAATTTGTGAAATCAGAATCAAAGAATACATTATAAGGAGTTGACAAGCTGAAACCAAAGAAACCCAGAAATTTATCAGCAAAGAAAGCAATGGTGGAGCCACAGAGTAAGAAATAAGCTACGAAAAGATCAAGAAAAGCCCCCACCAAAGTATTGAATGTCCAGAAACGCGCAGGCTGCCTACTCATCATCTTCTAGGGTTCGGATGAAGATCGAAAAGATTTTCCTGATTGTAGAACCCTCTCCTCCACTCTGCAATTTTGAAAACAAAAATCAAGAAACCCCCAATTGCAATTAAAGAGTTATTCAAGAGAATTGAATTCTACGTGATTGGATGATTTGAAAGACATACATATCCGCCCAATCAAGAAAAAATTAATGTAAAATTGGACCTCATCATATTGTTGGCAAGGAAGACACGAAGCATTGTTATCAACGATGCACGTGCATTTCATTTCTGGAGGTTTATGAAAATGCTTTCCCATTTGTCCATCGTATTACTTAATTAAATTATTATTATTATTATTATGGTTTTATAAACAAAAATAAGAATATGGTCGGTCCATCTATTAAAGTCTTATTTGGTAAGAGTTTACCAAGTCATGTTATCGTACCGAATGAATATGATAAGGATCAAAATTTTTACCTGCAAGTAAAGACGATGACTCTTACCATCATAAGCATTTACCGGATAAATTGTTGCACATAATGTCGTTTTTGCGAATTAAAATCTTACCTGGTAAATAAGTGATAGTTTTATATTTTACCGGTAAATACTTACCGGTTAAGTGTTTGATAAATCGTCCCTGCATTTTCTTATATTAGAAAATGTATCATTTTCGTTGAAAACTACTTCATCGTTAAGGCTGCAATGTATCATTTTCGTTGAAAACTACTTCATCGTTAAGACTGCAACTTGCAAGATTCCAATTTTCCGATTGGATAAATGATACGTTAATGATGGCAGGGGAGAAATAGAAGGCGATTAAGGCCATTAATTTGGTGGGTCATCCATGTGCGTACAAACATGGAAGTGTTTTGGTTTAAGGTAAGGGGTCAGCAGCGAAATATGGTACCCAATTATGAAATCAGAACTGTCTTAAAACTGTCGGTTCCGAAACCGGTATGAGTGGTTCCGGTTCCTAAAATACGGAACCGATTGAGAATAGTTCCGGTCGGTTCTCAATTTTTCGTAACCGTTACCCGCCGCGACTGGGTACCCGGAACCGGCGGGTACCCGGTTTTTTCAATTAAAAAAATAATAATTAATTTCTTTTTATATAATTTGAGAAGTTTTTTATATAATTTATGCAATTTTTTATGTAATTTGTGTAGTTTTATGTTAAAAATATGTGCAATTTTTTATATAATTTGTGCAGTTTTTTATATAATTTGTGTAGTTTTTTATACAAAGTTTGAGCAGTTTTTTATATAAAATTTGTGTAGTTTTTTGTTAAAAATATGTGCATTTTTAGTTAAAAATATGTGCAGTTTTTTACAAGTTTGTGTAGTTTTTTTAACACTCAATTTTCACAGGTACCGTACGAGGTTGAGTTATACTGACTTTCTTGGAAAATCATTATCTGACAATCAAAGGTATTTAGTTTGAATTTTATTTTAATATCATCCATTAAATTATAAAAATATCGTAACAAAGAAATGAAAAATGTTTTATTTTTCTTAGCGTACTAAAGTTCGATCGGATGAACATTGACGACATATTTAATGTCGACATGTCGGATGAGAAAGTGGTGTTCTCAGTGAGAGACAGTCGAGTAACGCATAGAAGCCTACTCCCAAAAATTTTAAGTATTAAAAGATAGGGAAATTGACTTAAATGACCATATTCCACAACCAAGTTGACCTCTTAACCATTGATCTTTAGACTTTACACAAAAAACTAGGTCCGCTAATGATTGCGGACCCACTAAACGATAAAAATTTAGGCTTTTTTGGCCCAAGTCTACAACCACACGTCCGTAAATATTATGGATGCGGCCCAAAACTCTATTTTCCTTTGAATACTATAAGTCCGCAACCACCATCTAATGCCCGATTCGTAATGCTTAGTGCTGAAACGTTACGTCTGTGATAATTGTGGACATACCACGTGTCAGCGTTGGATGGTTACTCGAAAACCCTAATATGTTGAATTGAATAAGAATGGTAGGTCCAAATTTGAATATGTAAGTTTTGTCTTTTGTTTAAAAACCATTGACCCCATTGAATCCATAAGTTTTTCTCTCTCACATCTCTTAAAGCTTAAAGCCACGATTTCTAGTATAACAAAATTTTGGGGGACCATCAAACATCCAAGCATTTGATTAGAGTCACGGCTTTGCTTCTGCCAGTCGATTCACAATGGGCTTTCCCCAAGTCAATTCGCTTTACGCTTTCGTAATGGCTGAGTTAGTTCTTGTCTTCATATTTATTTAAATTTGAAATCCCCACAGCGGAACCCAATCGTAACCGGAACACCCTAATCGTTTCATGCTATTTGCATTTTTTATGATGTCTTCATGCATTTAGAATATAAAAAACGAATTTTAGTGTTGATGTGTGTAAGGAGGAAACCATTAAATAGAGTAAATTACACGTGGTTGCCACCAACTACCAACTCTCGTCCCTCGTGGTTTGGTAAAAAATGTGATTTTCTTCTTAGTGGTTTTATCGTTATTTTCTATGATTTTTAATTTATTGTTATTTTCATCGTTATTGTGATAACCTGGATTTCAGACAACAATGGTTGAGGTAACCTTTATGTGATTATATGTGATAACATGCATGTTTATTTAAGTAAATGCATGGATCATATATACATGTGAAGGTGATTCTATGCATACATGAGAAGATGTTAATTATATATGTGTGTGCACGTAGGATGGTCACACACATATGGGGAAATTATTAAAATATGATTGTATGCTATCTTCATGGTTAAGAAAATGGGTTTAAAAAAACCACAAGGGTGGTGTCTGATTGGTTTAAGCTTGGCTCCAAAGGTCAAAAGTATCAGGAGGTCCCAGGTTCAAATCCAATGAGGAATAAAAATCCCTTTGTGGCCATAGAGGTTCAAATGCGGTGACTCCGGGCTATCTGTAAAGCAGATGGTCGTCCTGGGATTAGTCGACTCGCATAGCAGGTTGGATATCCAAGTTAATAAAAAAAAGGGGGGGTTAAAATATAATAAAACCCACCGCCTTTAAAGAATTTTATATTAATAAAACTGCACACCGCCTTGATTAAGAATATACATAGAAGAGATAAGATTAAAATATAATAAAACCCACTGCCTTTAAAGAATTTTATATTAATAAAACTGCACACCACCTTGATTAAGAATATATATAGAAGAGATAAGATTAAAGCTTATTTCACTTTTTGAAGAAATCTTTGAAAGGAATAAATGTGTGTGTGTGTGTGTGTGTGTGTGTAAGACGGTGAAGATGTTCTTGAGAAGGAATCTTGCATAAAAGTAATTTGATGATTTTGTGAATATTTGAAGAAGTTGCTATGTAATTAAATCTTCAAATCTGTGTATATTAAGGTGAGTTTTTGATATTAACACCTTTAAATGATATTATTTGAAATATATGATTTTGATGACTGATTTTGAAGAAGAATGATAAAAACTGTTTTTGACAGTTGAAGTTAAGTTTTATGAATCTGGGTTGTGAAAACTGTTTTTAGAAAATAAAGAAGATTTTTGCTTCTTTAAAACAGTTTGTGGATGATATCATATTTTAAGGATTTAAGAAGATTTTGAGTTTGGAAATGATATTAAAAGAACTGTTGGTTCTTGAGCACCATGACACAGAGCACTGGTTGATCAGAAACATACTCCTATATTGATTAGTTTGTTACCACAAACCCCACCACTAATACGTAACCTAATTTTATTAGTTCCAAAACTCATTTTGAAAAAACCACAGAACAAGGAAAAAGAAGACACACGAGAGAAATATTTGATTGAAAAGGCTTGCTGGTTTTTAACATTCATCGTTGGCCTTCTTATACAAAAATTCGACGGAATCAAATTGTACCAATACAATGGTATTCTTAATCATCTGCTGAAGTTTGTACAATTCATGAAAAACGTAAAAAGGGTTTTTTTGACAAAAATTGTAGACCTAGCTTAATAAGATTGAGGACCTGGCTTACGGACCTGCCACTTGGTTGGTTAGGGCTTTTTAGAGGCTGCCACGTGGCACGTCCACAATAATTGTGGATATGGCAGTGAGAATGTGGCAATTACGGAGGTGTGGGCCAGATTCAAGGAAAATAGAGTTTTGTGCCGCATCCATAATACTTACGGACGTGTAATTGCGGACCTGGGCCAAAAAAGCCCAAAATTTTGTTGTTCAGTGGGTCCGCAATAATTACAAACCTAATAACTTTTGTACAAAATCAGAAAGAAATGAATAATATGTCAATTTACTTGTGGAAGAGAGTCAATTTCCCTAAAAGATATCTTTAACTAATAATTAGAAAAATGAAATGATGTGATATTAGTAGTCAAAGTTTGTGTCCTATTATGTTTCATCGTATTATGTATATGACAAATGACAGCTCAACTTTGTTTGTTGCTTCATATTTTAAACCAAAAACGAAGGGCTTATATGAGCAAAGGGTTTTAATTTAAACTAATTAAATTAAAATAATTAAATTAAAATAATTAAAAATCGGTTTGTAAAAGAATTAATAAAATAAATCCCATTTGGTTTGATTTGGTGAAAAGGTTATGCACTTGGATGTGACTCAAACAACTTTAAACAAGGATGGAGTTAGTATTTAGAGTGTTCCTCTTTAATAAAACTATATAAGTGGTTGATTATATAAACCGTCGTATTGTAAATCAATTTCAATCGTTCATGTAGATAAATACGTGATTTCATAAAAATATTGAGTGTTTTCTAATATAAAGCGTTGATCATAATTAATGAAATATAATCATCTTTCATAAGTATTCACATCATAATGAACCCTCATCATTTTCATAAATATATCAATTGAGAACTACATAATTTGTAATAACCGTGAGATCCAATATGAGCTAAAAAGGGTAATTTAGTAATTTCGTTTATTACAACTCATCAAAATATTTAACTTAATATTTTTATAAAAAAATATTTAATTGATTTTAATTACCTAATATATATTAATTACCAGACATATTACTTTCATCATCCAAACAACCCCCCCCCCCCAAAAAAAAAAAAAAAACCATGCCGCCTCCCGCACTCATCAAAATACATTATATATTTTTCATTATTTTCTTCCTTTTGTAAAGAGTATTACAATAAGGAAAATCACCAAAATAATCATTTTATAC